AGAAATTCTTCCTTCGCTTTCTAAACAAGGAGTGATGGGAACTCTGAACCAGGAACAAGGGATGTGAGATAACTGGAACTTTCAAGGTGAACAGAAGTAGGATTCACAAAACAAAAGTTTAACACGTTTTTCTCTCTGGAGATAATTAGCAAAGTCTTTTGGAAATTCAAGAAGAACAGATAGATTTTATATTGCCAGTGGAAACAGGTAGATGCTTCTACAAAGTTGCTCCTTTGCCTATCTCTCTCCAGGAATTATAAGAGTAATAAAACATTATAATTAAAAGTATGCTATTATTAGCAATTAATACAACAGTAATTACTATACTTAGATACCAAAAGTTACATGCTGGGACTGTCTTTCTCATCAGAAAATGAGGACAGTATGTCTTGCCTTCTACCTTCTTGCTCAAAATTCCCTTTTATTTCATGTCTTTGAAGAGAATAACCTTCAATGTATGCATCTCACTTTTAACAAGATTCTTACCTCACTAATGATATAAACACTGTTTTTCATACCCATGGTGTTGATTTGCCTAAGCAGGATCTTAAAAATCAGTGCTTGCTGGCCCGCACGATGCTTAGAACACAGAGTATCTCAGTTGGAAGAGTACTTCAGATGTGAAGTCCAACTACCTTACTGCTTCAGGGCTAACCAACAGCTAAAGCACATTAATGAGGACATTTTCCAAATGCTCCTTGAACACTGAGTGGTACAGGGCACCAACCAACTCTCTAGGAAGCCTGCTCCAGTGTCTGACCACCCTTCTGGCACAGAAATGTTTCCCAATGCCCAGCATTACCCTCCTCTAGTACAGCTTTGTGCTGTTCCCACCTTGCCATCGGTGCCCAGGAGCAGAGCCCAGCATCTCCTCCAGGTGATGCACAGAGCAGTGAGGTCACCTCCAGCCTCCTCTTCTCCATGCTGAGCAGCCCAAGTGTCTCAGTCTCTCCTCACACTGCATGTCTACCAGCTCCGTCACCAGCTTTGTTGCTTTCCTCTGGACCCTCTCAGGCACCTTAATATCCTTTTTATATAGCGGAGGACAGAACTGCACACACTATTCAAGGTGAGGCTGCACCAGTGCATAACACAGTGAAGGAACGTTTGCAACACTAGCCAGCTCCTTCCAAAAACCCACAAGTGAACAGGGCACTTGCCCTGGTTAGTACCATGCAACTGTTTAATTCTGGTGACAACCAGCAGCCCTGTACAGCTTGTTTCTTCCAGATGAGGAGTGAGGATCATCCATGTGCGCTGCAGCTGGCTCCAGGTGCAAAAAGAAAAATGTGGTTTCCAGCTGTTAGTCTCTTGCTCCTCATAATGGCGTTTACCTTAGCTGGAAATTAAATAAACAGGAAGGCAACAATCTGATCCAGTTCTGTAAAGCCAACACTGGTGTAATCCCAGACTCCTTGCTAATTTATTATCAGCTTCAGGAAATACCCTGGCTAATTTGGCAGAAGCTCCCATTGTGAAAATCTTTTTGGATGCCCTGGAAAGCAGCTTCTTGGCTGGCAAGTGAAGCAGTGATTCCCTTGCCCTCCAAATTAGCTGGATACCCAAAGGAAATTACTAATCTTTCAGTTTGAAAGCAAAACACAGACAAGTATAATGAGTCCTGTTTTCCTCTGTGAACGAACAGATAATCAATGCCTTGAAGAGTGGAAAATCTACATTTCTGTTAATGCTAACCCTCCTTAATTCTGAGTGAAGCTTTCTTTGCCATCACCTGGAGCAGGACAATCTTACCAGCAAGCTGAGAGACCGCTCTTTTAACCTGCCTTAAAACCTCTGCAAGAAAGCAAATAGAAAAATACACAGAAGGAAAGTTTTTCTTATTTGCTTCTAAAATATCCTTTACCACTGCAGGCTTTAAATATCTACTATGTAAAGTCAATATTAGTGGTGAAATCCCCTAGTTAAAATCACTTGTAAAATTTCTAGCATTTCCATTCTCTTTAAACTTTCTGACAGGGAGGCTGTTCACTTCTTCTGTCATTTTCTTTCAATTATCCATTCTCTTTTACGTCTGGCTTCTACTGTTGACTTTTCTGCGGTTTTGTGTTGCATAAACTCCCAAGACCCCTCCAAAAGAATGTGACCATCTCCAAAGCAGAACTCTGAATGTCAAAACATCTTTGTGACCTGAATGTTTCTGGAAGAAAACCTTAAAACAGTTTCTGCAATAAAGCCAAAAAGCTTAGAGCAACGGCAAAAGAGGAAGCGTGAGGGCTGTCATTTCCTCCAGGAGCAGCGAGGTAATAACTCCCATTAACACCTCCCAGAAACGAAGACCATTCCAGTGGGCCATATGTGACTCTCTTCCTTTAATTATTTTTGTGACTGAATGAAATTCTAGGTCAGTCAACACACTATGAAGGACTTAGCTCTTGGCACTAGTTTGCTTAGTTTGTGTATATGTGAAACACACACTCCAGTGTTTTTACTATGCTTTTTCACCCATAAATTTCCCTGCTGTACTGTACACCAGAGAAGGGCCAAAAATACTGTGAGCTTTCAAAAAAAGAAAACAGTTTAAGTTACAGATAAACAACAATTCCTGACCCTCTGTATTATCAGCTATTCTGAAAGGTCCAGCAACGCTGACAGCTAGGACTGCTGGAAAAAGGTGTAATTACAGAAAGAATACAATCACCTCTACTACACTCTAGTTCCTACGAAGTTCAAAACAAGCAAATGCTTGAAATCTTGAATTAATATACACAAACACTTCTGAATGTCATCTTTCCTTGCCTTTTCGTAGATCATTTCAACCTGCAGCTTTTAGGTTATTTGCTTAAGTATATTTAGTCTGAGAAAAGATGAAAAACTGAATAATTTTAGCTCCTTTTTCAGTCAATAAAAACTCAGTGTGGGAGAAGTATGAGGAAAGAGAGCAAAACGATTTTTCTGTTATCATACCACAACTTGGGAGACATGGGTTCAGAGCCTATCACAAATAGGACAAATTACACAAATTTCTTGTGTTACCTACAGCAAAACATTTGGTGTTTCAATTACTTATCTGCAAAGCAGGGATAAGCACTATCCCAGACATGATTTGCTTGGATAATATTTATTAGCAAGTCAGAGGTGCTCAAGAAATCTTGTCAACTGTATGCTGGGTTGCATCAAGAGAAACACGGCCAGCAGGTTGAGGAAGGTGATTCTGCCCCTCTACTCTGCTCCCATGAGACCCCACCTGCAGTACTGTGTACAGTTCTGGAGCCCCCAACACTAGATGATCAGAGAGCTGCAGCATCTCCTCTAAGAGGACAGGCTAAGAGAGCTAGGGCTTTTCAGCCTGCAGAAGGGAAGGCTCTGAGGAGCAGCCTTCCAGTACCATATAGACCGCATAACCTTGTCAGTGCAAATTTGAGTTTTAAGTAGAAATGACGACAAATTATGTCTGGAAATTAGCCCTTATACACCATGTAATATGCACACCAGCTAATTTAAGTATGCAAAACAGGTGTCTTGTCTAAGACAATTTGCGCAGATTTCTGGAAGAGTCAGCATCAAGAAACAAGCAGTGCCACTTCAAAGAAGACACCAGCAGAGAAAATCTGTTAGGATGACTTCCTCATCTCTGGTGGGGCTGTGAACACACATATTCACACAGCATGGAGAGATGGGAACAGTCAAGGACATGGGTCAGGATCCACTGTCCTGCAATGTGTCCAAGAGAAGGTGGTTATCCACATACAGGGATGGACTAAACAAAACATAACAATGTGATGTGATGGAAAGCAAGATGGGGAATTACTGCAGCCTAGTTGGAGAAGCACCACCTGAGTACACAGCTACTGCCTTGCAGGAGTTATACTGTTGAAATAATGGAATATTTGCAATAAATGGTGACAAACCGGGGAGTGATTGCTATTTTCTTTTGTTAACATTGCTTGGGAAACTAGAAGGGACCACACAGGGAAGGGAAAGCAAGGTTTAGATGAGAATCATAGAATGGCCTGGGTTGGAAAGGAGCACAGTGCTCATCCAGTTCCAACCCCCTGCTATGTGCAGGGTCACCAACCAGCAGCCCAGGCTGCCCAGAGCCACATCCAGCCTGGCCTTGAATGCCTGCAGGGATGGGGCATCCACAGCCTCCTTGGGCAACCTGTGCCAGTGCCTCACCAGCCTCTGGGGGAAAAACTTCCTCCTCATATCCAACCTAAACCTCCCCTGTCTCACTTTAAAACCATTCCCCCCTGTCCTATCACCATCCACCCTTGTGGATATATATATCTCAATCATACCCTTCTATAGCACAAATCTTGGAAACCTCTGGAGTGTTGTTTTATTGGATCCTCATTGACAGTGATTCAGTGACACATTTACCTGTGTATGAGGGATGGTAACACTTTTCAGCCAAAGGGCCAGAAAAGAACCTAACCACAAAGCAAGTAGAATACTTCTATTCAAGAAAACCATGAGCTGATGGAATGAGATGTTTTTTTTTCTTGTAAGAACAGACTACTCTGAATTTACCTCAGTAATGAGGCTTCCCAGTATTGGCCACCGCAGTATAAATGATGATATTTCAGTGGTTTAACAAAAGCTTTGAAAATAATAAAAATATATTAAAGATGAAATCTAAGAATGTGTCTTATTTACCACAAATTACTTTGGTTTTCTTTGTAGCTGACGTAAAATCAGCCTTTGAAAAATCTTATGTTGAAAGAATAAATTTCACTGCTATTTACATTTGTTTAAAGGTCAGAAAGGATAACTTATAGCATGGAATACAGGAAAATATAAGCAAGTGACTCCAAAAGTAATGCCTCCTACTTATTTCCATGAAAACTGCAACAAAGAACACAAGAGAATTATTTGATAGAGCAAATTCTCAGCTACAAAACACTACTTTTCAACACTATCACCACCATTACCTGCGCATATTCACCAGCAGTCAGTAAGAACCTGCATGTAGTGTTCAGCAAAACCTGCAGACATTTCACTACCTCTCTGAGCAATTGAATACATGGTGATGTACTCACCATCATCTGCTGAACGTGAAATATTTCAGCTCCAGTAGCAGAGAGGCGGTTTGGAAATGAAATATCAAGAAAAGCGCCAGGAAGAGTGCTTGGTCCAGCATTGTAAACCTGTAAGAAAAACAGGCATATAGATGTATTAAAAAGTCCTGAATAAACATAACTGCTCATAAGTAGGAAATAATTGTATAACCAGAGCTGGGAGCGTAGGTACATTTGAAAAAATTCTCATACTATGCCAGTTTTATAACCTTTTCAGATAGCACCTTCTCCTTTCAGTATCAGATGAAATCAAAGGAATACTTTGCCTGAAAGTCTTTCATGATAGCTCACACAACAAGTGAGATGCAGATTTGGAGGATAATTAGCAGTCATCAATACAAATAGCATAGGACTTCTATCTTTCATACAGAGACTCTGCTAGTACACTGAAGTGTTTTGGTAACACCACCTGTTACTGTAAAACATATTGCTATTTCTATCAACATCCTAATTTCCATCAGGTAACCTCTGCATTATATTCTGCCTGTGTTTTTCTTACAGGGAAGAGTAATGATGATTGTGACTACTGAACTGTAGGCATGATGAACTGAGTTGCCAAGAAATGCACGTGAACAACTTCCAACCAAGATCTGGAGTTTCCAATTAAATGAAACTCTTAGTGGAAAAACGTTGGCTTTCTATCAAATCCCCCACAACTTCTCAACCAAAAGTCAAAGAATTTTCAGTACACCACTGAAATGTATCCAATGAAAACTGCTAAATTTGAGGCTTCTTGCTGAAGAGAAAAAAAATCTATGGACAAATGTCTATTAAAGTAAGTTTTCATGACTACCTGCATTTTCCTTTTATCAGGGAAAAATGTTTCTAGCAACATTTGTTTCTAGCAACACATGTATAAATGCAAACAGCACAAATATTAAGCTAATAGAATATTTATCTGCTCTAAGACAGTACAAGATGAAGTAATTGGTCTCTTAACAATGTAAAGTACCAATATTAAAAACAACAGATATTCATTCTTCAAACACTGTTTGTATTTGAAGAAATGCCTGACTGATAAAGAGAATCAGTTCACAATGTCAAATCCTCACAAAAACCCCGAGGCTCCAAGCAGGGGGGAAATCCCACTACAACAGAGCATGGCAACAACTGCATGAAATACAAATATAATGTTTCATGTAAGACGTTTTAGAAAATGCTGGTTACATCACTGTGATCAGACACAAGAGTTAATGCAGAAAAGGCATTTTCATTGCACATCCCGTTACCCCCAAACATTGATGTATAGATCTCTTTCCTTATTAATATCCTACATGGTAAAGATTTTCATATGTATAAAAAAACTCTACAAAGCTCTGTAATTTTGTAAGTCATCTCTTCTTTCGGTTAACAAACTATTACTTTTCTCCATCTGGAGAAGATTAATAAATGGCAGGCAAATCATTAAATACAAGCAAACAGTGATATAAACCATGCTCTGCCCATTATGAAACTCTACCCTTTCTCTCTGACAAACAGTTACGAGGTTTACCATGTTATTGGTGAGCAGATCTGTAACTTGTTACTGTGTTGTTTTCCACTCTCATATGGGTAGCAACCTTATTAATATTGCAACTCACAAGTGTGTGTACGAAAGGCAAGAGGGTAGGAGAGGATAAATGGTGGCCAATATATAGACTCTCTCTTCATTACCTACTATCACTTCATTTTATTGAAAATAATCATCCAGTTAAAGCATCAGTACATATGTTCCTTATCTGTTTCTAACCAATATCTGGCTGGGGAGAAGTAAAGACCTAGAAAACCTCAAGAATGGAATCAGTATCATAAGAATTAATAGCCTAGTTCACAAAAGCTTTAATGTCCTGGAATTCTGCTTTCAGTCCTTTTCAGTAAATAGCTAAGGGCACTGCATGACAGTGGGGGTTTAATTGCTCTGGCCCACAGTCTGTCCACAGAGGCTGACATGTGTTATTCATTATGAGCTGAGTGGCATTCATGCCTAGGAGAACAGAAAGGGGAAAAAAGGTGAAAGACTATTTTTCACGATCAACGATTCACCCACCTCTGCCGGATTTATCATTCCCTAGTTCCATCTAGCGGTCAAAAATGATTTGAAGTGCTTGTAATAGAGACAGTCAAGGCCACGAGACAAGTTTATTTTGGTCCTGTCACAAGAGCTTGTTGTAATAACTGTTCCATACACTTTACAAGATCGGGATCCCAACTGACATGTGCTTTTAAATTTATAGATAACGTCTGAATAACACTGATGTGCTATGAGACATGCAATGAAACCTTCTCACACCATATTTCTGGTTTTACATTCTCTTTCCTGCACTAGACTCTCATCAGTAACGTTATACATATTTTTGTATTAGAGGTATTTGGCTTAGTCAGAATCCATTTCACAGGTACGTGCTTGTTCTCATGGATGAAGACTGCCCACACCTCTGCTCAATGACCATGACACTGAAAAGAATTATTTCTCCCATTTGATCCTGAGACTGCATTCAAGATGTGGCACTTGGGTAATTTTGTACTTGGCACACTATGAAAAGTAAAACACAAACAAATAGTAGCAGTATGAAACTATGACAGTGAGATGTCCTGTTTGTAATTATTGTACTAGTATTTTCAGACAAGGAAATACACCATCCCTGTACACATGAATCCCTGTAAATATGGCATCCAATCAAAAATGCAATACACAGCATACTGTGTTATAGAAGCAAGCACCAAAGCCCTTAAATGCACTGAGAATAAAAGAGATACAAAGTTAGAATGTACTGTCAAGCAAGAATTTCAGTTTTACCTGCAGTGTGAAGTTAAGAGACTGGAAACGGCATTCATGGCTTTCCAGCTGAACGAAATTGGATGCTTCCACAGAGTCACCATAGAAAAAGGAAGTAGGGAAGACTTCCCTGAAAGATCAAGACACAGATTTAGTAAGTTTTGATTGCCACCAAAATTAAATATATTTGTGGTATGCTTAAATCTCAGTGCTTGCTTTCTGGCCATGGGAAGTCCTATGGAGCCATTCTGCACTAATGCAGTATTTTTTATTTGATTTCCTCTTGACAACAGTAGGTTACACAACCAGCATCTCAAGTGATCTGGCTTAACATCCTATCGTAGAAGGAAGCAGACTTACTTGGATTACTTTTTCTCCTTTCCTATCACAAAACACCTCCTCCTGGTCTGTGGCCCTTCCTGTGGATGATCTGTGGAAGTTCTTTAGCACGTGTAACATGTGAAATCACCGCACTACTGAGTTCATCTGAAGTACTAACAAACGGGATTATTTTCAGTTACTTACTCACTAAAATAACGCCCCAATTTGGTCTACCATTTACAGAGCATTTCATCAATAAACACCCCATCAGTTATCACTAGGTTTGTGATTTGCAGATGGTTAAAGGGAAGAAAAGAGGGGGATATGACCTGCTTTAAGCTAGTCACAGAGGCCAAGTTCCCTCAGCCATTCTTAGCATCTTATTACAAAGTAAAATGCAGTAAGGTTCTATCAGAAAAGACTCTGAAGCATGGTAGTACCTAGAAATCCTAGGCAGGAGGACTAGGAGTGCTTTAAGCATTCTTTGTGCTTCCTAATGTCAGACTGCACCACTGGATGGAAATGGTCCTGATGTAATTTTGTATAGACTGTAGTAAGAATCTGTCTAAAACTCTATTTCTTTCCCAGGCTGTTCTTTTGATCAGAGGTTTCTGAGGCAGGATTTTAAGCCTGTTTAGGTACATTTCCTTTTTTTTCAGGTCTGTTGACCTGCCTCTTATGGCAGGGATCAACTAGGGCAAACAGCAGGAGACAAACTTGACTCCTCCCATCCACAGTGCTGTGCCAGTAGGCTCCTTCCAAGCATGTTACAAGCCCTTTGGGATATTTATCACAAGAATTTGCTCTCACAGACCCACACAATGATAACTAATTAAATTAGGTTTTAAAGACATACTGTCTGAAGAAGAGTATTCCTAATATTATTTATATTAATTGGGAATGGTGCAGCTGCCAATAAATCAAACTTTTCCCTGGCAGCTGGACATTCCTATGAGCTGGAGTCAACTAAACTTTGTATGTGTGAGTGGAAGAAATCATCCAAATAGTCAGGTGGGGCTACAACTTCAGAAGCATTAAAAAAAAAAAAAGTATGTTGTGAAGAAAAAGAAGCCTAATTTATACCAGGCTTTTGGTTTGTAGCATTCTGTTGGTGGGGAACAGGGATCTAAAGGCACGTTATTTCTTTTGTATCTGTAAAGCTGTACAAAATCTGTGTAAAAGCAGTGCCAACTAAGGGATCCAGAGATACATTTCTACACAGTCTTTAACTCTTAAAATGCTCAAAAATTTCCAGAATATGTTGCTTCTCAATATAGAGAAGAACTTTGTCCTTGCTTGCCATCTTGTGGGGTCTGGTAGTCCTCATGGTGGCTAAAAAGACCTTTGCCTCTTGGGGACAATACTCATGAGTTTTTACTTCCCAAATTTGGAAATGAATGTCAACTTCCACAGCCCACACTGATGCTACTTCACCCCCAGTGACCACGTCACTCAACTCCAACTTGAACACTGTCTATGTTAGGGGTCAGTTTATTTGGACTAATCCCAAATTATTCACTCAAGATGTACAATGGTAATTTTAAGAGGAAGAGGAGACCTCTGAGTACAAAGGCAGGAACCAGCACACGTCCAGTCCCTATGTATTGTATATCAGTCAAAGGGTGAGTGATGTTCCACAGTTCGTATTTGGATGTTCTGCAGACTAAGAAGCAGAGCTAGTGGGAAAGGAGATAGAAGCAGAAACAAATTCTGACTGTGAAATTAAACAGAAAGGCAAACAACTAGACTCTACCAAGATCTTTAAAATCCCATAACATTCGACCCTAACCTTTGGCCTGGTGATTCTCAATCATATCTTTAAAGGCATGCCTTACAGAACAAGATAGGATTTACTTTTCCTATTTTTATTTTATTTGAAGTTCCATCGTATCCACAGAATCACGTGAATTCAAATATGATCACTAAAATATCTACAATAAATTTGATTTTAATGACTTAGTATTGTTAGAAAGGAGTGAGAAAGAGTTACAGTGCTGGAATGTAAAGAATGACAAATAAAATTCCCAGATAGGGAATGAGATTGTCCTTATTTCCAGAGTCTGGGAAACAAGAAAAAAAAAAAAAATCAACATTCCACTACTTGTAAACAAAGAGAAAAATTCCGTTTTTCACTCCAAGAGGTTTAAATGTTATTGTTAGGATTACTGGCATTTTTTTGTTTTCATTTGATGACTGGTACTTACCCATTGATAGATGAGTCCACTTCATGCATCAGGGGCACTGACAGGGTCAGAGTATTATCATGCAAGGACTCCACGCGCTCTATGTTTCCACTGTGCCAGAAAGAAAACATAAACATACTGTAAATCCCCAGCCTTTGTATTATCTCACAGTTACACAGCTACTATCCCTATGTTTTGTGCTCTGAACTCCTCTTGCTGAGCGATGTCACCTCTCCTCAGGAAGCCTTTCAGCGGGTAGGAGTTACATTTCTTCACCCCACTTTGGAGGGGGCACAGCATGTACACAGTATATACTTTGTGGTTACCCCTCTGGATGGGACATGAACAAGCACAAGCTGAGAAACCATATTTGAGAAAAGCAGTCAATCCAAAGGGAAGTGCTGTCATCATTCACAGTGGAGATATACAAGGACATCTAGGCATAAATGCAAGGACTCATTTTTCCCAGCCTGACTGTACATCAGTTTGGGAGGATCACATACATCTCACAGAGGGTTCCTGACTCAGTAAATTAAATTTCACTTTTAAATACCTGAATTGCTTCACAGCACTGTTTCACAGCTATGAGCAACCTTGCAGGCTACATCCTCATACAGAACTAGCCATAAACTCTTCACTGTTCTACTCCCTTCGCATGTAATTAGTTGTCAAAATGAAAGTACTACTTTCTATCTTTATATTATAGTCAGCTGCCACCACTGGTCAAAAGCAGAAGGAAAGAACAGTAAGTAATCATCTCTTATTTCAGTCATTTTATTTCAGTGTGAACATTTATATATTAAATCCAGGAAAGGCTGAAATGCAAGCACAGCATGCAAACTTGTAAATATTCTAATCCTGGAGGTGAGCCTGCTTGGTGGGTAACAGCTCAGAAGATATGTTGCATATATTTCCAGACTCTCTAGCAGTGACTAATTGCTTTCTGCCTTGCTGTTCACTGGATTTACTCACGAATCAAACTGGGAAAAGATATGCTCCCATTTACTTTAGGACAATATCACTGAGGGAAAAGAAGCAAGCTGTAACATCCCAAATGATACACCATTTATATGATGAGTTGCTTAATTCGGTCCCAGGAAAAAAGAAGAAAAAAAAAAGACTTAACAAAAACTGGATGGACTCATAAGAGTCTGAAATGGAGGCATTTTTCATCTCAGATACTGAGATACTCTGGTGGCAAGTAGAACATGCTTGCAGAATTCCATACAGATTTCAAATGTATGCAGCTAATACATTTCAAAGTTCCTGTACAAAAGGAGAACATCACTCACTGAGTCTGATTCTAGCAAAATAGTTCACTCCGGGAAGCAGTGGAAGAGTTTTGTTGGTGCTTAGTTTCTCCTATGCTGTCTCACTACTGAACCAGTCTCTCACTCTCTTTTGCTATAGGCGCTTATATGGAATTTGCAGCTACAAGGAACAAGCTAAGTGGCTACCTGAAGAGCAATACTTACATTCCCATGACAGCATAGTACAGCTAACAGCTTCTCTATCCCTAGACAATTATGGAGGACTAGCTCCAGTTTTGTGTGGGAATTAAGTCCATACTTGTTGTCTATCCACAGCACATAATTTTCCTATCCATTTCCTTATTGCTGACTTCAATCAATGGCTCCCTGCTGCAGACCAGCAACTCTTGTGGTAGAAAATATTACTATTATTTGACAGCGAGGGAATTGAGTAATTTGCCCAAAGACAGGGAGGAAAGAAGGGTAGTTCTGCACTGGGAAGTGCATTGCTGTCTCTGGAGGTTCAGCTGAATCCTTCACAAAACAACTGTCCTCCAGTCCACCCTTCCGAAATGAAAGACATTCTCTTAAGCTCTCAGAGCATTTGCACTATGTGCACAAGCTGCTATCTATAACTTCACCCCATCTAAAGGCACCAGCCAACCCTCCTCACTGGTGAGGCACAGTAATCTCAAGGAGTGAGGTGACTGAGGAGAGCCCTGTGCTATCCAAGGCATGGAAATGAGAGGTACAAGCTGGAAAATGCTGCCTGGGCAAATTTAAAGCAGCCGTGACCTATCTTTGCAACGGCTGGCATTCACCCAGCAGATCCTGATTCATCTCCTGCCCTAGAAATATTATGGGGTCATTTAAACACGTGATCAGCTACAGAGTAAAACTTGCATAATGTGCAAGCCATGGCCTTGCCCACTTGATGTGAGGTCTCACTGTCAGTGCTTCATAGCAGCCCCACGTGCTGCAGGATCTTGTTCCCCACCTACAGCTGTTATAGGAGCAGTCACTCAGCAACTGCAAGATCTTGTCTCTCATTCCGAGTAAGCCTGTGAGGCATCAGAATGGGGAGGCGAGCTGTTTGGAAATGCCATTGAAATGCCATTTTTGATGTTGTAAGGTATGAAGATGGCCTGTGGAAGCAGCAACCGGTTCCCTACTCAGCATGCCAGAGCAGCAATTTATGGCCTAGGTTAATGAAGCTGTGCTACAGTCTCCAAATAAACACCCAGACATTGCCTTGCCTTAAACACCCATGGAGACTACCTCTTTTGTAGCAGATCATCCTGGGTGCCACATCTTTTATTTCATTCCAGATAAAGTGATTGTGTTTACATTATAAGGTCACTGGCTAGCATTTGGCATCATCCTACTGCAGTGCCTGATGCAAATGCCCTTGGGACAGTGTCCCCTTCAACTGTTCCACGCATCTGTCAAACCTTACTGAAGATCCAGAGTGGGGAAAAAATAGACATGTAGCTTTGGAAACTGTCAGTAAGATCTCTGAGCATCTGATGAAAGCATTTTTCTTTTCTGGTTTGCATCCAAGCATACTTATTTCATTTAAATGCTGGAACAAATGGGTCTGTCTGGTGCTGATCGTCAAGCACAGCTGAGCTGAGTTTGATACACAGCCCAAAGGGATGAGCAGAGAAACACAAGGGCCTTCCAACTGAAAGAACACAAAATGCTCCTTCAGAATCACAACTGCCTGGCAAACAGAGCTTACACACAATTCCACCTCACTTCTCAGTGAAGGTAAGCCACATGTTTCCTCTGTGTTATCAAAGAACAAGCATTTAGCTTCAGTCATTCAACCTCATTTACTATACATGCATATGCTGATGACTGCTACCACACAATTGCTAAGCATAGGCAGTGCACACATCATGCAACGAAGAAGATCTAAGTCATCAAGACACGGAAAAGTTCTCTTACCTTTGGGCAGTGACAAGGAAGGTAAGTGTTTCCTCTTGTCCAGACAGGTGGCTTGTGTCAAAGATTACACTGAACTCATACTGCACAAAGAAAAAGTGGCATTTAGAGACTGTTTCAAAACACATTTATTCTGAAGCTTCACCTATATCCTACTGGTCTAGCTAAAAACAAGTAGCATATTTTGATATTCTTAATAGAGCCCCCTCTACTGCATAGTAGTGAAGGTTTAACTATACAATTGCTAGGTTGTTCAAATACTACTGAATCTGATTTTTCATTGTGAGAAGGCCTTTATTAGAATTGCCACTCAAAGATATTTTGGGAGCAAATTATCTGCCAGTGGAAGAGCCTTCTAGCATTAAGAGATCATTACTGAAATTACCTCAGCACCATTGCACGCACTAACTGCTGCCAAGAAATCTTCCATGAATCTCTCATGCACAGGCATGCACAGACACCGGGAACAACCAGCAGTAGCTAAAGCACCATCCAGGCCACTAACCAAGCTGGACATAATCAGGTGTTAATTTTGAGTTGAGAATCTACTGGGTTGATCACTGTAGCACTACATTAAATATTCCACACAGCAACATTTCTGTTTAACTCCAAAGCCCAGGTGAAATGGTTTCCAAATTCATGCTAATTTCAATGGGGAAGGGAAGGGAAGGGAAGGGAAGGGAAGGGAAGGGAAGGGAAGGAACTACGTCACTCTGAAGTGAAATATTGAAATTCTTAAATTCCAGGTGATATTTTGCTATTGCAATTTTTTCCACTTGCTATTGCATTTTTTCCATTACGTTGTATATCTTTTTAAGTGTTTCAAAAGAGCATATTGCAAGCAACAAATAATATGTTAAGAAAGAAAGCAACGAAAACATGAGGTCAAATGTGGCAATTCAAACAGAAAGGATTAATTTTTAGAATTTAAATTTTGTAAGAAAATTCAGATACATTTTGTTCAGATCATCCTAAAATTATGTCTATTCTCAGTTCCTGGGTTGGTCACTGCATATTTTGATTAGTGACAGAAAGAACCTGGCTGGATTTCTAAGTATAAGAGAGTTCATCTACTACTATCCAAACAAAACCTTCTTTCAGAGCTATCAGAAAACCATAATATGAAAAATTTATTACAAAACTTTCATTGTTGTTCATACGAAAGCAGTCACAATTTAAATTGAGAGTAGGCAAAAATAAAAATACAATAAGGCAACACAAAGGAGACAGGGTCTTTTTCTAATATTCCACTAAGGTTTCGCTTGCTACAACTGTTGCAACATTTTTTCAAGAGTATTTAATTGCAACGCACAAGTTATCGCTATTGGCTGTATCTGGTGAGTACGTTTGCCCTCCCACAGCCATACAAGGCCTGGATATCTGTGTTAGAAAGCTACATAAGGTATCAGCCACAGGCATTTAACAGAGCAGTTATTCTTCCCAACACTCTTTGGAGAAAAACAGGGGAAGAAACCATCACTGCAGATGAAAATATCATGACATTACCCTAGATTTTGATCTCATGAAAGGAAATTCCACACTGCACTTGAGGAAGTCTGACTCCAGCAACTCACAGGAAATTCCCAGCTCCTCCTGTAAGAAAATAAAAAGACCACAAAATGATGGAGAAAGACTACCAAGAGATGTCATTGAGATAAAGCATCTCAGAAAATAAAACATTTCCCATCATAACGCTGTTACTCATGGTCCTGATCTCTTAGTCTCTTGGGATGAACTACAATGATAAGGGTACCAGCTCTTCTTTAATGACACAGTGGTGGTGTAGAGTAAATTAGGGGATGATCCCCTCCTCACGCTGAACCATGATGGCCTATGAGCACTGTCAGTAATACAAACTGAAAAGTTCAGAGCACTAACATAAAAGCCAGTCCATTAAAACAACAGAAATGAATCTGTTGAATAGAAAGCCTTTCATTGCTCCATAAAATAGGAGTCTAGCTCCAGGTTAGGACATTCTCATCTCCAGATCATCAGAAGACAGTTGCATGCCTTGTCTCTATGGAAAAGTTCATAACATAAAATTTTCAGAGTGAGATTCAGCTCCAGAATCTGGATGCACACCTTCAGGTGACTACCCAGAAGAGTTCTGCTAAATGATCCAGGTGCTCCCATCCTAGCAGAGCTAGAAAACTGCTAAGCAGAGCAAATGTAGGTGTTCATTCCCAAGTGAGCCAAGGAAGTGACGAGGCCCTGCTACTGAATAGATCAACACTGGAGCAGTGGTATTGAAGTATCCAACTGTAATATGAATGCCTGAATTGAGAGATATGAATCTGAAAATTAACCCAATTATGGACATCTATCTGGAAATCTCTTAGATACAGGATATATCATTTATTCAATCTATTTTAGGAATCCACAATAGTTTGTGAAACCCAAGCTCAGTCTCCTCTTGGCACATTTCCCAAATCACTCATGAGTTTTGCTTTAAATATGTACTTCAATTTAAGCATTTGCATGAGTACCATTCTCGAATGGAACAAGCACATGTTGAAGTGGCTTCCCAAAACATGGACCCAGACTATAAGCATCTCGGGGAAACGTCTCTCTTGGTTTCATGTTTTGATCTGAGCACTGCATTAGTGGTCTACAGACATTACCCTGTCTGACTGTCAGACCATTACCCGTTACTCTGACTGCATCCAGATTCTTGATCTTTCAGCTGTTTCCTTTTGTTTCCCCTCTATCTTCAAAATCATGGTTCAATTCATAGCACATGTCAATAGATGATTATATCCCTAATGTCATTTTTCTACCCTGATTTAGTTATTTGACTGGTTTCATGTGTAAAGAAAATAATCTAAGGGGAAAATCCATGCATGCTTTGAGACGGCATGAAATCACTTCAGTAGTACCCAACTGCCAGAGCAGTGGGCTCCATGTTCATTTTCTCTATGGATTTATTTCCTTGCAGTCCTCTGTATGATTCTATTTCCAACATTACAAAAGATGGCACTGCCCAGCAAATCAGCTATCTAGATTCAGCTGTACAAAGCTGTCATCTTCCTATTCTAGGTCAGATCTTCTCCTCCATTTAACAAAAAAGAGTAGAGAAAGTGCTTTATAGGTGAAGCATCTCCTTCACTTGCCTTTTCCACTCAGCGATCTGGGAACTCTTCTAGTTTTATGTGGATGATCCGGTGAATACACACTCTGAGCAGCTGCGCAACCAAATGAAAAGTTTCACAGTTGTTTTCTCTGGGAACATTCTTGGTTCTGTGTTGTTCCAACATCCCTAGCTGTCTGACTGTAGCAACCTATGAACTCTCTTTCATCATCTCTCTGTTTCTGCTCAGTCAAGAGAGATTTCTATTTACATAGCTGTCTGGTGGTGACAGTGACCAGACAGACCCAAGAGGCTGCCTCCTCTCCCCATGTCTGTATCGCTTCAGAGATGTCAAAGAACACGATAACAGAAAGAACAGTCATCTTGATCATGGAAGAAGTGCAATTCTTCTTCATTTTGCAAATTGGAGGCTGCCTGCCTCTGCAGTCCTGACAACAGGCAGGCAGATGCCAGTTGTTTATAACAGTCAGTTAAGGAAATGACAGATAAAACTGCATTGACCATTTCTATTGTCGCTGCTTGCAACAGCTTAATAGATGTGCTGAGATTGACTAGAAGGACCTTCTGACTTCATTAGCATACCATCCAGTTTAATGATTAATAAAACACTATGCACGCTGCAAAGTCAAACTGCTCAGAGCTAGGAAATAGCATAAAGAAGTTTGCTGAATCACTGGATTGGTATTCTTCACTATTTCTATACTACCTAGCAGAGTTTCTAATTTGCTTAGAAAATGCAGCCAAAGCGGATGGAAGCTTCTCTGCTGGTTACAGAACATGAATTATCCAGACAACTCTGTCTTCCTTCTGAAACATCTGACAGCATTTCATGTTTTCAGAAGAGTCAATCAGCTAAACAGCGAGCTAATTAGCTAAAGAGCTGTAGTACTACTGCATAACAAATGAAGAAACACACAGCTTAGGATGACTAACAGTCTGTTCCTCCAAACAGAAAGAAAAGTTCTTGATGACTGTAACAAGAACAATGAAACAGCTGAGTTCTAATGGTACTGAAAGAGGCACACGAGGAAGGAGCAACCCAATGGAAATCATGGAAATTCTGTAGCATAATGCTGTCATGTGCTGGGGCATTTAATCAGAGGGTGCTCGGAAATGTAAACGGCTTTATTTCGGGAGGTTCTTGTTTTGAAGAGTAAATATTCTGTGTGGCTTCATCTGACTGAGTAGTGCAGGGAGGCAATAATGATCATATTAAGATAGTATGGTAGAAATAGCAACTCAGAAATGTTGTTAAATTTAAAACTTGAAAATGAAAGAAGTTCTACAATGCTTGTGTTATTCCTGCCTCAGATCCAACTCTCAGCTTTTTCAGATATCAATTTGGTGCACCACGCTGCCTGCACCAAGGGACACCAGCTATTTTCTCCATTGGCATCTTTGACAGTACATATTTTGGTAGAAGTGGGCAGCTACTGAACATGGGAGTTCAGAGTACCTCTGACTATTGTCTGACAACACAGGATATGCACTGGAGCAATATCTCCTTATATCCTTGCCCTTAACACTGCATGCAGTTCTTATTGCCTCAAACAACTCAGATACTTAACCAGAAAAAAAGCTCAGAGACTCATTTGCTTGAGAAAGGTGAACAAAAAACATTTCAACACGAGCAAATTGTTTTGACCACACAGACGGGATGCTGGACACTGTCCTTTTGCTGACTTCACCTAGCTGATCATCCGGGGATTTAACACACAGAACAACTCCAGATTTTGCTCTTTCCCCATCAGAGATCATTACTGGACTGCATGAGAACTACATGCTTTTCAGGCTGCAAAAGGTAGGCTGTCACTAAGGAAATAGCTTGTCAGTACTAGAACAGATTGTACCAAGCAAGTCTTTGATTACATGCATTCTGGCATTTGGAAAGATTGTTTTTCCTTAGTACTTGATGGGCCCAATGTTCTGGTATAAAGGTGGGACCAGTGCCAGTTTGAGCACAGGACTCAAATATTTTAGGGATGATCCTACAGATCATTTATTAGAACCAAATCTTGCTCAAAGACAGCAGCCATTTGTGCCCCCTCTTCCTGAAACAGACTTTTTTAAACAAGATTTCTTATATACTGTTTACTCTGACTTTAAAGGGTAATTTTCAACTTCATTAACTGCCAAATCTAAGATTTAAGACAAAGGGAATGTCCTATGAAAAAGAAAAGAAAAAGAAATGCTGGTGAAAAAAAGATGAAGACTGCCTCTAGGGAGTCTTCACAGTGACATACCAACATAGTACACTTGTTATGCTTCCCCTTCCTGAGGATGGATGGCCAGATGCAGAAAGCACACATTAAACGGCACAAAGGGTGCTGAGACATCCTCAGCTGCATCTTGATAAGCAGTTTTCATACCAGAATGCACATGCATTTTTCCCTTAAGAATCTCACATAGCCGGCAATGATGACTTATTCATCAGCTGATAAAACCCTCTTCCACATCATTCATGTCATGTCCAAACAAAAACCTCCAGTCTTAAAGGAAAAATATTTCTGCCTTTCTGACCTAGCAGTTCCTGTACTCCCATCTGTTTCCATTTTTTCCCATCCTTAGGGTTATTCATCTCTTCTCAATGAAAAAGCAACTCTTCTCTGACTTCACATCATCATCCCCAGCCCAGAGTCAATCACACACTCTCCAACCTGTTCCCACCCCCATCCAAGACTTGCTGCAAGCCTGACACCTCAAGCGACTCCTCATCTAATCTCCCCCAGCCTGTTAACTCCCCTTCAGCACCCAGACCTTGATTTATTTGACAGCTCTTCTACCAGATTATGACTATCAGCAAAAGCAAACAAGTGTAAAAGTATGGGTCACTTGTGTTGTATTTTGCACTTAGAGCTTTCTAACGTTCCTTTATTGCCTGCCAGCTCTCCACTCTCCTAAGCATACAAGATACTGGTAGATATTACAACTTCCATGTCAGCATGAAGCTGCACCAGAAAAATACTCAACTTGGAGAACCTGGCAAAATGATGTCCTGGATATGGCTCTGATTTTATTTTTATTTTTTAAAGTTGTATGCATTTATGCACTTTTGGGAAGTTTAGTACTATTCTGAACACTGTTGATTATCTGTGCCAGAGATGACCCAATCCTCTTATTCTGCCCTCTGATGAGCTGTTATGGTTAAAATGGGTTAAAATCACTAATGAAAGATACTGAAAATATCCTTGTTGCAAATTGTTAGGATAATTTGTATACATTCTTAGGAGAAAGGAAAAAAAAAGAAAAATTTGCTATATAACATACCTAAGAGCAGTTTATCTTTCTGTTTCCTCAGAAATACTCAAATAAAAACCTGTTTTGTTGTTGTTTAGTTGGAAAAATGCTTCTATAGATCCTAGCTACCATTACTCCGGAAGGGTGGAGAAACTGTCCTGGAAGCTTTGATAACATGTTGACAGAACACTCATTTTGAAGATGCTGAGAATTTGTTTAACTCGTTCTGTTTTGCGATGCTGCTGCAGCTTTTCCAAAGAGCACAAAA